TTTTACATTCATATGTAAAAACAAATTAACAGAAAAAAAAATCTTGCCAAAGAATGGAACTAGGCTCGACTAGCACTTGTGCTAACTTCTAGTTCCCATTAACAACTTCACCTAAACATAGTAATATACATATTTACGTATATATCTTTTGTACATTTAATAGTATACAGATGTATGTCTAAAAAATATCGTTTTAAAACCATTACTGTTCAATCGACATTACTCTTGTGTTATGTATACATGTATCAGTATTATTCTTTGCATTATATGATTGTTCATATGTACTGTCATTATTGTGATGTGTTGTTGTTAATAAATTCAAATTCAAATTCAAATTCTCCCACATCCCCATAACTCTCTCTCGCGCGCGCTCGGTCTCTCTCTCTCTCTCTCTCTCTCTCTCTACCTCTGTCTCTCTCTCTCTCTCCCCCTCTCTCTCTCTTGAAAGCGTCTACTGGTTATTCTTCATCCCGATTCACATAATTATAGCGCGATCAGCGACAATAGGCCTCTTTGTAACCACCCCAGAAAACCATGACGGATAAAAGAAAAAAAATGACCTTTAAAAATAATGGAAGCAATGCACACCTCTGGACAACTCGGGGGTTTCCCCTTTCCATTCAGTACTAAACCACCGTAATCACGTGACACCATTCTTTCCTGTGCATCTTTGTTCAACCATTGACATGGTCCATGGTTTAATACAATGTCGAGGAATTTCCTTGTGTACGTACCAGTCTGTTCCTGCACGCCATGTTTCTACTTCACTATCAGACCGGAGCCCCGTTCCATAAAACTTGTTATCAGCAAAGCCAAGTGACACAAATGTTGTGTTTCCTGCCCCGCCCACACCGATTTTTGGTGCCTCTTCAATATTGTTGTTATTTGTTATTTTTAAAATTCATTTATTTGTATAGAAATCATAGTTATACTTGAACTCTGCGTTATATCAGGGCATTATAACAACCTTGTAATTGCCAAGTATAGAAATGTGTGCTTATAAAATGTAAATGTGCTTCAAATGTTGCTGATAGCAGGAAGTAGTTGGTATACCTTGTTTAGAAAGAAGAAAAAAATGTGGGCTTACATCATAAATACTCTGGTGCTACTTAATTAAATTCTTATTGATATGTATTTTTTTCTTATAAAAGGGGGGAAACACCCTACATCTCCCTTAAACAAGGGAACTGTTCTATGGATAGTAAATCCAAAACCAGATGAGTTTCAAACATGCTTATGAGGAAAGTATTTTTTAATTAACTCAGGTTTGCTCGATACATATACTACACAATATCCACAAGTTGTCTCCAAATTTTTACATGTTTGGTGTGTTTGTTGAATGAGACCAAGACCAGTATTCAATATTGGTGTGGTTGACCAGTGTACGTCTCCGCCTTTACAAGACCATGTCCTGGGCCACTGAAACTAACAGGTAGGCTACTAAAAGTTTTGATACAGATCTGCATGAATGTAAGTTATTGTAATACTAAAATGTGTAAAACCATGAGAAGGCGACAGGGGCAGATTTAGCTGTTTGCCCCCAACGAAACAAAATGTCAAATTTTCAAATTTCGAGACCAAAAAAAAAAAAAAAGTGTCCTCTTAGCTTTTTGCTAGGGGGGGGGGGGGGTGAGAAGTGAACCAATGACGATGCGGATACTGTGTGGGTCTGGACACCCCCCCCCGTAGATCCGTCACTGGGCGTCGAAGGTGAGGGTAGGTGGGGTAAGTGGATTTTTTTTTTTTTTTGTCTCGAAATTTGAAAATTTGAAAAAAAAATTCCGTTGGGGGGGGGGGGGGTAAGGTCACTTTACGTTAGCCGTGGGCATAATTTTTTTTTTTTCAATTAAAAAAAACAAAAACAAAACAAAACAAAACAAAGGGGGGGGGGGGTTTTAGTTTTTTTTTAGGGGGGTTTACACACATAAAAATACCAAAGGGGGGGGGGTTTGAACCCCCAACCCCCCCCCCCCCCCTGCGTACGCCCCTGGATACAACATGTGATTTAAAAAGTTTTGTATCAGCAGCCATTTTATATATGGCGGCGATCTCGGAAAAATAACGAAAATAACAAATAGTAAGGTCCTCCCTCACTAATTTTTTTAAAAATCCGGACGAAAAACACATTACTTTTTAAAACTTGGTCTGCCAAGTTACAATAACTGTTATAAGCTACTCTAGTCGTGGCATTCGATTGGCTGAGAGCAAATTTGGCATAGAAATTTAGCATTTAGGGTTACTTATTGACAAAACACGTTTTATTAAACAGGGCCCAGAATGATTTGATATTAAACGATGATTGAGGGGGTGGGGTAGTGAGCACTATTTTTTTTCTTTCTATTTTGACCCCGAAAATTTGAAAATCGTGGTGGTCGAAATTTCTTTTTTCCTATCTCTCTGTCTGTCTGTCTGTCTCTCTCTCTGTCTCTCTCTCTCTCTCTCTCTCTCTCTTTTTCTTCATCTATCCTTTTACTTTGTTATCCTTTCAGTCTCCCCCTCTCTCCTCTAGTCTTATCGCTATCACTCTCTCTCTCTCTCTCTCCTTCTCTCTCTCTCTCTCTCTCTCTCTCTCTCTCTCTCTCTCTCACACTTTCTCATCTATTTTTCTTCATCTATCCTTTTACTTTGTTATACTCTCAGACCCGAATTCACAAAGGAGGTTTGTCGATAAACCTAGGTTTTCGTGCGTCATAATAAACGTACATATACCTAGGTTTGTCGACAAACCTCCTTTGTGAATTCGGGCCACGGTATCTCTCTGTCTCCTGTAGTCTTATTATATATCACTCTCACTCTCTCCCCTTCTCTCTCTCTCTCTCTCTCTCTCTCACTTTCTCATCTCTTTTTCTTCATCTATCTTCTTACTTTTTTATACTCTTCGTCAAACTTCCCTTGGTCTTCTCTAGAATTGTTCTCTTTTACTCAATCTCTCTCTTTTCCTTCATCTATCCTTTAAATTTGTTATCATTTTTTGTCTCCCTCTATCTTATCTAGTCTTTTTCTCTATCACTCAGTCTATCCCCTTACTTCGTTATCATCTCGTCAGTCTACCTCAGTCTCCTCAAAACCTGTTCTCTGTCACTCTCTGCCTCTCTCTCTCTCCCTCTTTCCCTTTCTCTCTCTCACACTTTCTCTCTCTCTCTCTCTCTCTCTCACTGTCTTCCTCTCTCTTACTCCGTCTTTCTGTATCTTGCTCTTACTCTGTCTTTCTCTCTTTCTCAAAGTCTCTCTACCCCTTGATTTGTTCTAGTTTGTTTTATCCCTCTTACTTCACCATCCCATAACTTGATGCAGATTAGTTTGTTCTATCTAGTTTCTTTCCCCTCTCTTCATTCGCTTGGCTTACAGACTTAACATCAGTCTCTGTGTTCCATTTCAATTACAATGTAACACACTTAGAAGTGTAGTATCAAACGCTTTACAATTGTGATGCTATCAATATCTCCCCATGTTATAAAATATTGTATAGACAATTGGTAACACAGCATTGATCCAATGCACCTTTGGTCCTACATATAAACACAAAGGTCCATATTCTACAAATCGAGTGAAACTTGACCCCGCGTCTAAAATCAAGGAGTTAATAAAATCAAGGGAAAAATTAGACCACAGACTAATAATAATGATAAATGTTTTCTTTTATAGCGCTATATCCAATTTACAACTGATCAAACACAAATGCATAATCCCAGCGATAAGATTTAAATTTTGAGTAGAACTCAGGCCAGAATGTAAGAGTGAGGATTACAATGTATGATAGAGTTTCTAGAGCCAGGCTTAAAGGGGCTGTAGCATGGCAAATACTGGTTAACACCATCTACCACTTCTTTGGACAATTGCACGTAAACAAAAGGACTTGATTAACTGGGTCAGTGACAAATGACAATTTATGTTATAAGCTAGTGAAATCCTTGCTCCTGATTGGTTATCAACAGATTTGTCACTGATTTTTTTGTCAGACGACATTGAAAAAATGCTTTGTGAAACAGGTCCCTGGTCTCACCAAAATATATGTGCAATAGATATGTTAAAGGAGGGGCCAACATGAGGGTGATACATGTAGTAAAGAATGGAAAGAAATTCAAACTTTTTTCAAACAGCTGTGATTGTATAAACATTAATTGACATATATTTACAATATGATACATATTAACAAGTGAATATGAGATTATTTAAATCCCTTTTCGCTCACATGATCTACGAATACATCATTGGCTCGACAAGAGTTATTTAGAAATACTGTTCGTACATAATACAAAAACAATAATATTTTTACCATTTAAAGACATAAACTTGCCACATTTTTCAAAAATAATTCATAACCATACTTAAATTTCTAATCATAATCATTAGCACGAAGAGGTATTCACATGACGACTTTCGAGGTTAGGTACATTTTATGATTGTGGTAGGAGTAATAAGGGTTCATAGTCACGATGCAAAAAGCATGAATTTCAATTGCTTTTAGCATGGACAACATGAACCTTATGACACTTTTGAGAGCAGATCATATCCGTCAAAGGTACAGTATGTCATCAATAGGGCATTGAGTATCAGACATCGGTTACATTTTGTTTGGACAACATTGGACTTATTCGCAAATGTACCAAATGAAAACCTGATCTGACATGCGGCGGTAAACCATGGCTTTAAACAAAACATAATGAAATATGCTTCATTTTGTATATGTCATAACACAAAGTTTAAAGGTATAGACCAGTTCTGGTCATGCGATTGCATTGTGAAAGAAACGTTGTGGAATCGATCAGAAAAGGTTGATCATCTAGCATATAAGTATTGGTGTGTACTGCAAGGTTCTGGAATCATCAAAATGATAAGAAATTTGGCCCAGTCTTGGTAAAGTTGTAAGCACTGTACATAGAAAGATGTATATGGGACTACGCAATATCTATCCAGTCCGGATAGATATAATAATTTACCAAATATATCAATTAGTAGGCGATTTCCCTGCAAAATTTGTATCATCACGTATTAGTCAAAACATATTCTTTCACATGATTGGTAATAAGAGCTTCCATTTCATTTTTTGAGAGGGGGCCATTTCTAAAACTGGTCTATACCTTTAAGTTAAAACACGAAGGAAATTGCCATTTGCCAGTTGCCATTCATTTGCATATAACAAAAATTCCCACTAGAATGCTAAGAATTATCCCAGCATTTCTGCAAATATTTTGAGAGTGTTTACTCGATGCATTCCTCAAAAATCATGCCCAAGCTTTACCTGACAGCAGCAATCAATATATTCAACCACGATTCCAACCTTCCAGGTTCACTTACTTCTAAAAAGGTAATTTTTCAAATTCCTCATTACATTCTGGTGAAGAAGCATAATATGATTTTGAATTTGTAAACGTATTCATGCAAACAACTGAAACAAAGTTGTTGTTTTAACCCGTTGTTTGTAAACTTAAAGATCCCATACACATAATATGACATAGCACCATGTCTTGAGTCATCCACGTCAAACAAAACTGCTCTGCAATTCTTATTATAATTTGCTTTAATTTCATTACATAAGAGAGAAAGAAGCACAGAAAATTCAATAAGCTTGCTGATGATTAATCACAATGGTTTATATCACTAGAATTGAGACATCTATTTGGCAGTTTGGGATCAAAACGAACACCCAATAACAAGAACATAGAGGGAGGTGCACACCAGTTGTCTGACATTTGATTGAGATCTTTTTTTTTTTACCAAACTGCTAAAACAGCATGTGTACAACATTATGCTTGTAAGTTTGAGTAAAATCACCAGGGGCCCCAAGTGCTTTATGTCCTCTCTGAGGGACTTGGTAATGAGGATTAATGCCTTACCAAAGGGCACTAGCGCATTGACTTGGTTCTGAACCTGGGACCTACCAGTGATAAGTAAAAGACCTCTGCTCTACCCCTGAGACCTCTAGTTACAACAGACTGATTGTTAAAATGGCAACCTTTGGCAACTGGCAGCTAGCTTCAGTCTGCACTACATACATCTCAGTTAGTTGTCTGGACTTGGCCACTTACAGGTGAATACTTTGTGGATATATCGTAGAACTTATTTCTAATGAATAAAGAATCTACTGCTGAGTTGGAGGTTGCAGCCCTGGTTGCAGCCCCGGTTGCAGCACTGATGGATCTGTTCGTATTCTCTTGGGAGACTTTGGCATTGAGAGCATTTGCTACAAGACAAAAAATAAGGAAGAACTGATCAATATAAAAGCAACGATAAAAGCAACAATATTTTTAACCCCCTCCCCAAAACAAATGATGATTGAAACTCAAAGGAGCTTAGACTGTCTTTGAAAAATGAGACCATTCATGTGCTTGTTTCATGTAATAATATTAGTAATGACTGTACATTACAAGTTTGAAATGTGCCTTTACATGTAGCCTAAGCATTGTTCACCAGAAAGGTATGCAAGAAAAGGTCCTTCTTCACACTGGAAACCAAGCACCATTAAGAAATTGTTCAACTCGAGCTTATTTCAGATATTATGTTTTAAAAGCACAAGGGTGCAACTAGCAACAACATTCAAGAAAAACAAACTGAGTGGGGAGAAACACTTTCAGAATTGAACTTGCATTAAAGCCCGTCTGCACTAGTTTAGCCAGGGGGATTAGACCTCCCTGCAAGTTCACTGACAAGTGGTTATCTCATCAAATCAGCTCTCGATAAACATAAGAAAAAGGGCATCATGGGGGACCAACAGGCACTGATTAGGCATTGTTCGCTAGATAGAGGGTGCAAGTAGCTATAGGTAGTGCAGTGGGCTTCAAAATAAAAATGGGAAATGAAGAAAAAAAGAAGTTTGAAAAGGTTATTTCTAGATATACCTTTTGCCATCTGTCGAGTGTCTTGGAGTACTCTGAGGAGTAGAATTGAAAGACTTCTTCACAGTCTCTTCTCGCTGCATGTCCAGGAGGGTTGTACTGCAGACAGTTACCCCGCACAAGCATCATGTTATGGTGGAATTCAGCAAAGTCCTGGTACGTAGCAGCCTGAAATAGTCACAAGTATTTCAGGAACATATCCGGAAGATAAGAAATAAAAATGATAAGGTTAGAGGAATCCAAAGCTTGCTTCAGTCTAGACTAGAGGCTTCGTTTTGTCAAAGGTATAGAGTGAGGGCTTTGGTTGCCATTGGGTTTAAGGTTAGGAGTAGGCCATTATGAACCCCCATCCCCCCTCCCCTCCCCCTAAGACCTTGGCTAAGGTTGACTCTAGCGAGTGGAGAGAATGCACAATTTGTTTGACATGCTATCATTAATTGTAATTTGACACCCCTATCGTAGATCTGAATTGCGCAAATTTCGAAATGCTCGGGATACTTGAAAGAAACTAGACGTATGTTTGATTGCACGCAGTCAAAAATGATGCCTCCGCTATAGAGCAATTTAAAAACCAAAACAGAAGCAATTTTTCAAATTCAAGTTTGATTGTAATCCATTGACATGTTCTCAGAATATCATAATTACAATCTATTTTTTCATATACATGTATGTCCCTTTGAACTTTGACCTTATGACCCTAAAATCTTACCCGTTCATTAGCTCTACAAGATAAATACATATCTTGAGTTTGATAGTAATCCATCTGTCAGTTTTGCTTTAACAAGCTATTTTTGCATACGTAATGAGACCCATGAACGTTGACCTCTTAACCCCAAATCAAATCAGTTCATTGGCTCTGCAAGATACATACATGTATATGACCCAAGCTTGGCAGTAATCTTTCAATCGGTTCTTGAGATAATGCGATGATGAGAACGGGACGTATAGACGGACAACAAGAAAACATAGGGCCTCCGGCTATATGTATTGAAAAGAGAAAAAAAGATATCTCACCTCTAGGTTTCTCTTGATAGTACCAAAGTCCATTGGTTTCTTGATGACCTTGTGATATCCTGGTGCCTCTGCTGGGTCAACTAGGTGAAGAACACAGCAATTTAAAGGCATCGTTTAACAATGTTTAACATCTGAGATGCATGGCCCTACGTGTTATCAGTGTCTGTGATATGGTGTAATGTTGAAGCCCTAAAAAAATGCACTTCAAAATGATCATGAAGTGCCTCAAAAACATAAAAATCTTTGAGTGACTGGTATTACCATACTCATTATCCCCAAATATACATAAGATACAAATACATATTAAAATCGTAATGTTGTTCCTCGAGAAGTTCTTTCTAAAATGCTTGTCTATAGCTTTTTTTTCTTCTTCATAATGAGCAATTTTACATTTTATTAGATAGAGAGTATTCTCTGAATAGGGATACAAATAAAAAGATATTTGGCTCTTTAATACCTGGTCTTGTGAACCATGATGCTGCATTGATTCCTCCTTTGGGTCGATTAGCGCCACGGAAACGCATCACTCTCTGTAACAAGCTGTGGGTAGTAATAGGATAATCAACATTTAGGTTTAAGGAAAAGGTTTGATTATTATCATTATCATTAATTCTGCAAAAACAAAGAAAATCATTGAATACAAAACAAGAGTACATTTGAAAAAGAGTCACATGGATACCGGGAAAAGAAATAGATTAACTAAACAACTGTACCCCGAAGGTCTTCTTTTCCACAGGTTGAGTTCGGGTAAAGATGAAAAATTATTTGGGAGCTGCTTTGTACATATAACTTTGTAATTTTCATACCAAATGTTTGTATGTAGTCCCATATACCAATTTCTGTGTGGATAGCAACTATTTTCAGTAAGGTTTATTAAATTACTTATTATTTTAGACTTTGGCGGGACTAGAACCACATACCATGTGATCCAAAGTCCGGTGATTTATCCACTAGACCATGAAACTTCTAAAATTATAATTAAACTAGATGGAATTTTGACTGCGCGCAGTCAAAAATGATGCCTCCGCCATAGAGCAACTTTACAAACCAAAACGGAAGCAATTTTTAAAATTCAAGTTTGATTGTAATCCATCTGTCGGTTTTAATAATAATGCATTCACAAACTTTTTATAGTCATACATAATGAGCCCCATGACCTTTGACCTGATGACCCTAAAATCTAATCAGTTAATTGGCTCTGCAAGATACATATATACATGTCTTGAGTTTGATAGTAATCTGTCTATTGGTAATCTGTAATCTGTCTAATCTGTCTATTGAGCCCCATGACCTTTGACCTGATGACCCTAAAATCTAATCAGTTAATTGGCTCTGCAAGATACATATATACATGTCTTGAGTTTGATAGTAATCTGTCTATTGGTTCTCATGATAATGCGATCACAAGCTATTTGTGCATACATAATGAGCCCTGTGACCTTTGACCTCGTGACCCCAAAATCTAATCAGTTCATTGGCTCTGTTAGATACATACATGACCCAAGTTTGGCAGGAATCCATTGACCGGTTCTTGAGATAACACGATCACGAGCTATTTTTGTAGACATAACGAGCCCTGTGACCTTTGACCTTCGACCTCGTGACCCCAATATCTAATCAGTTCATTGGCTCTGTTAGATACATACATGACCCAAGTTTGGCAGGAATCCATCGATCGGTTCTTGAGATAACGCGATCACAAGCTATTTTTGTATACATAATGAGCCCTGTGACCTTTGACCTCCGACCTCGTGACCCCAAAATCTAATCAGTTCATTGGCTCTGTTAGATACATACATGACCCAAGTTTGGCACGAATCCATTGATCGGTTCTTGAGATATTGCGATCACAAGCTATTTTTGAATACATAATGAGCCCTGTGACCTTTGACCTTCGATCTCGTGACCCCAAAATCTAATCAGTTCATTGGCTCTGTAAGATACATACATGATCCAAGTTTGGAGAGAATCCATCAATTGGTTCTTGAGATAACGCGATCACGAGAACGGGACGTACGGACGGACGGACGTACGGACGTACGGACGTACGGACGTACGGACGGACGGACAACCAGAAAACATAATGCCTCCGGCTACTTTGTAGCGGAGGCATAAAAACTATCAATGATATTTGGCCACCTGCTGCATTGCATCTACCATAATGTTACCATGCATATGTTTTACATGTAATTTACTTTGTCACTGATGTATACTTTGTAAAAATAAATGCAATTCGGCTCTCGGGCCGCGAATGTTTTGTAATGAAATAAACCAACTTACCGGTGAATAAATAAAAAATGAATAAACAGAAAAACAATTTATATTTACTTCCATGCTGCCCTCGCCCAGCTGGGCATGCTTGATGGACCTGTCTCTTCGTCGATGGGTGTTGGCGCTTTCCGCTTTCGACGGCTGACCCGAAGTTTTCCGTCTGCTCCCATCACGCCCTCTGAGCCGGATCCGCCACTGCCGGTATCTGCAAAACATATTGAAATGATATGAATAATATCACATCTGAATTGGTCTGTGGGTATGGGCTTTATTCATATCTCACTACAGAAAGGGAAGTGTATATATAACCTATAAAAGAATAAAGAAAACTGCAGTCATTAAGAAAATTATTATTTACATTTTGGGATATATGTGTATAAATGGGTAACATTGAGCTCTACATGATACATGCAGAGAATTGCTTGAAAGTCTTGGTGATCACGTTCTATCTACCCTTACCCATGAATGACATCATTTCACCGGAGCTTCCGAGATCATCCCCTCTCTTGTCGTCATCGCCATCCTCCTCTTCATCGTCCTCATCCTCTCTCATCCGTTGGCAGGAGAGGTCCTCCAGGTTCATCTGAGTGATGTCAAAGGATGATGCCGACTCCATGACAACACTCGTCACAGAGGCGGTCTCGGTCGGCTGAGTGGGTTGAGCTACTACGGGGGTGACCTGCAATGAACAAAACAATACTCTGTACATGTACCTTACTACACACAAACTCAAAGCCCTTTTTCTTCACAAAATGATATACCTTGCATAGACGTTGGGGGGGGGGGGCAAAATTTCAAAACCAGTGAGAAGTGGCAAAGTGTGCTGCACTTCTACAACTTGGCTTGTCTTCCATTTTGAAGATTATTTTCATTACTTCATAATTATCCTCGCCAGATGGTTTATATGTAAGTAAATCACTCACTAGCGAGGAGAATCTCTCAAACAGGAATTAGTTTCCTTCCGGCTATATTTCTTATTTCCTTTTCTTACAAGTCTATTCTCTTTGCCTCGAAATTACAGAAATAAAATAAAAATGAACAAAATAAAAGTTTGACACAATCACTAACCTGAGGTGTGATCTTATGACCTATGACCTGTGACTTATCCATTACTGGTGTTTTGGGGATCTCCTGCCCATAGCTGAGCTTTGGCTTGGCTGACACCATTGGTTCTGTATCCTTGGAGATAATCTCCTCAACAAACTCAAACGGATCAATCTTTGAGGACTCCTCCCCCTCCTTCTCCTTCTGGTCGCTTGGCTCGGATGGTTTTGTCTCTGGCTCTCCTCCGGATAATCGCTTCCCTCTTCCTAGCGTTCCCCCTCCTAGCGCCTCGCTCTCCAGGAACTGTTCGAACTGGTCGACGACACTCGAGAGTTGATCCGATGAGAATTCAAGTCGTTCGCTTGCTGATGCAGCAGGCTTGGGATCGACGGTTATCACAGTGGGGCTCTGGGAGGGCTCTTTGGGATGTTCAGAGATGGATACAGAGGATGAGGATGGAATGCGACGAGTGACCGCTGATTGCTTGAGAGTCGATGAGGGCGGGAGTCCAGGTGATACGCCGGAGAAAGGAACATGCTTCACTGAAGGAAGAAATACAAGTTAAGGGTCAATTTGAAGAATGTTGCGGGGCATCACTACTACATCATATGGAGGTAGAAAGCTCTGAAATACACATGTATGTAAGTTTTTAATCATGAAGCCCCAAATAGGTCCCTCCTACGTACAATTTCTATGGAAGTGAACAATTATTACTTATAAAGATACACGCAATATTCCAAATTTGCTGTGGCAGCTTTTTTTAGATGGTTTACCTTGCCAAAGTTGAAAGGGAATTTTATTATTATGCTCACCTGCTGTGGTGGGGGGTAGCGGCTGGCCCCTGATTTCTAGCAGAGCCTTGATAGCCGAGGATGCTGATTGGCTGGATGGAGGGGAGCCGTCGTAATCGATCCACTCTGTGTTGGGCTTCCCCACAGAGGATTGGAAGATGAGGGAGGGGTCGCGACCTGAAGATAGGTCAACAGGATGTACCATTAGAGATAGAGGGGTTATATAGGTCATATCGAAGTATATGGGCAATTCTTTGCTCCATTACATACAACGTGGATGAATCACTGAGATTTTAAAAAAAAACTAAAAGAAACTTTTTCATGCAACAATCATGCAACAATTTCAGCAGTAGATTTTGAAATGCTGTATAATAGGGAATAAATAATACACCTCATTGTTTCATTAATCCCCCCCCCCCCTGATTTACTACCTGACATGAATTATGAGGAGGTAGTCTCAGGTTGCTCCTAATACAAGTGAAAATGATTGAATTAAGTCAAGATATATCAGGTTTCCAAGTTCATGGCTGATATCAAATTATCTAAAAAAATGTGTCCAACTGCACACTCAACTTACCTAGACTAGCACTCCTCATAACCCCACTTGGAACCTCTTCCACCACAACCTTGGATGACCCTTGACCTAATGAACCTGCCGATGACCTCCTATGACCTTTGGCCTTGGTATGCAGCTCAAGGTCAGCCGATAGCATGGCCATGCTTTGGGCAATGGGGGACTTGGACCGTAGCAAACCCTGGTGGGGGAGAAAAGGTGAAATACAATGAGGAAAGAAAAATGGCTAAATGTACAAAGCAATATAAATTTTTTCAAAATATAAAAACGTATATAAAAGAATTTATTCAAAAAATACTGATTTTATGAATACTTGAGTTTGAACCTATTGGAAATATATCATACAGGTAACAAGAGAGGGAGACAGAGAGAGTCATAGAGACACAGAAAAAGGATTGAAATTGTAATATATACTGTTTGAATCAAGTTTCTAAAATAACAGGGTGGTATTCTGAAAAAGTATCTAATTTTGTTATCATAATGAAACTTGGTATTTATAATAACCCACCCAAATTAGAATAATTCATCATTAATGCACATGCGCATAGATTGTAAATGGTTGCATAGGCATATACATGTAGTTCAGATACAAATCTAGGCAAAGCACCAGTAATACATGAATTACTCCTTATATATTCACTTTCTTATGGCTATCAACACATTTTTAACCAACATGAAATACATGTATATCTTAGTTTTCTGTAAAAGCTCATGGCTTACCTGGCTTTTGCCCATCGACCCCAACCCTCCCTGACCAGCACTCTGCCCACGTCCTGTGACTCCTCCCATTACAGCTCCCATGGAGACGGGGGAGGGGCCACGGATGGTCTTCTGGTGAGCGGAGGTGGGCGGGGAAGGGAAGCGGATGGATTGCATCCCCATGGTTCCTGGTGAGCTGGGTGGGTTGGGTGACCCGCTGCCCCCTAGTCCACCTGTCATCGTCATGGCGATCTTTGGGCGTGTCAGCACTGATGTGGTATGTGTCTATATTAAAGTATATATTCATGAGTGTTGTTTGCATACTAACAATCCGGATTTGTATGGCAGTTAATACATCTACAATATTCACAGGTTAATTCACAGGTATATAAGTATGGCAGTTCTTATAAAATACATCATTTACCCACCCTCTTGTTTCATACCTGATCCTAACCAACACTAATCAGGATTTTTCCAACAGAACTAAATACACCCATTTGAGTGGGACGAAAGGGCATTCATGAGTGTTTTGTGACAAATTTCCATCATATTTCAGTGGACACCAGTGGAAAGCCCTAACCCAATACACAAGTCATATGAACTGCATAACTTTTCTACTAACATCAGATGTAAAACTTGAAGATGTGTTGTAACCCCTCCCTCCCCCCCCCCCCCCACACACACACACAAGCTGAGGCTAAATAATATCCATACCATAATGCACATAACAAATATGTAAACTTAAGACAAAGATAATTCAGTCCGCAGTGGGCCTTACATTTATCATCCCCCTTTTGCTTTTAATTTACAGGTAAAATGGTTTCATTTTGCTGCTGCTTGTTTTAAAGACAGTTTATGTTTTTAAAGCAGTTTAATTCATCATTTCTGATTCTTTACCATGATTCCGGGTGCAGCTGAGCGGGGTGAACTGATCATCTTAGACTTGATCTGGGACTTCTGGACGACGATGACGTTGGTTTTACCAGGCATCATCGAATTGGGCTTGGTGACAACAACTGGTGCGAGACAAAATAAGACATGTTCCAAAGACATTTTGTGAAGAATGAAAGGGATTTGTTTAGACAAAACTAAACCATTGTTCAAGAATTATAAACATTAACTGTCAAATATAATGAAATATACCAGTTTTCTTAGCAATATCATTACCATTCTCATCACTAAAATCATCACCATCATCATCATCGTCTTCATCTAAAAGTGTAGGGCCAATTTGTTTGGTGCTTTGAAGTTTATTCCAGCATCTAGGCTGTATTTTGTAAAAGATATATACTGTAGGGTGAGGGTGAGGGTAGTAATTGGGTTTTGTGTTCAGCTTCGGTTTATGATTTATAGGGTCAGATACATTAATAATAATAATAATAATGATAATGAAGATAATAATAATATTAATAATGATAATAATGATACTGAAGATAATAATAATATTAATAATGATAATAATGATACTGAAGATAATAATAATATTAATAATGATAATAATGATAATGTGATGATGATAGTTGATTCTATTCCAGTTACAACTAACCAACCAACGTATCATTATCCCATTCGCTAAATCCATTTACGATTCCACACATTACAGTGCACATTCTCCACTCCCCTATGGAGCATTACAGCTAGTTGCCTGTTTACAAGCGCACACAGGCGAACCAATGACAATAATATTCGCATTCTAACGGGTATCATCAAAATGATAAGAAATTTGGCCCAGTCTTGGTAAAGTTACAAGCACTGTACACAGAAAGATGTATATGGGACTACATGAACATGTGGCATAAAAATCTGTCCCAATTTTTATGCTGTTACATGCCATATTTAGAATATCAAGGCATTTGAAGAGTAATGATTTTCAAGGAACATTTTTTATCTGATGTTCTTCTACACCTGCTTTATAACAGTGATAACGCTCACAAATTAATTTTTCACCTCTTCCCAGAACTCAACCTTCTCTTTAAATCCCTTGACTTTGACACTTCTGTATAGGTATAGTATGTGGGCCATGATAAAGGGCACCCGTTCTTACCGGTGGCTGTATTCTTGCCTGTTGTCTTCTGTAGAGACATGGGCGACAGCGTGATGACGTTACTAGTGCTACACTGGGGGCGCCCTCCCATCTGACTGGGTACCGTCACGATCCGTGGACCAGGTGATGTCACGATATTCCTAGCTCCTAGACCTAAGCTTGTGGACTGGGACCCTGTAGTACATGAGACGGTTTACAATGAACAATACATTTTGTTTCTTTTTTTATTTTATTTTTTAAATATTTTTATTTATTTATTTATTATTATTATATTTTTCATTTATTTATTTATTTTTTTTTTTTGTGGGGGGGGGGGGGAATCTTCTATCTGATGGTCTTTAGGGATAATTTGTAGGTAATGAATAATACTAAACCCTGATAGAACGAATTAAGTAGGAAAATTTGATATTTTTATTTCATCATCAAAGCAGGACGACTAAAGACACAGTCTGCACTAGGTGAGGGTCAGTTCTATATTTAAAGGATAATTGGGTACTTTTTTTCAAAGGGTTCAATGTCTATTTATTTTTTTAAACTGGTAAATTAATGATACATACACATTTCTATTAGAAACAGTTTTTTAAGAGCAGGGGGGTGTTTCACAAAGACTAAGATCGACTTTAAGTTGGACTTAACTATGACAGGCCATTCATGCCACTGGTTGCTCTCACTATTGGTCTCTCAATTACGAACTATAGATATTTTTTCCTTCAACTATAAAAAAAAATCAAATTCCGTAGATTTGTGACGATTTATACCTCCATTCAGAGACCAATGCCAGTAAATGGTAAGAGCAAACAGTGGCATGAACGGCCTGCCATAGTTAAAGTCCAACTTAAAGTCCACCTTAGTTTTTGTGAAACACCTCCCTGATCCAACAAGAGCACAGTGCTCCCTTGAACAGAAGAGCATGTGTTTAGACCACTTCCGCATACAGTACCTGTAGTAACACTGCTCCTTGGTGCCTGAACCCCTATGGTGGTTGTTCGGACGGATGGTGTTGCTGAGCTTGCTGATACCTGGTAGGTCTTAGAAGACATTCTACCGGAGCTACTAGCTACAGTCTGTGTGATTAGTTTCATACCTGTATAACAACGGAGCAAGTCAAAAAGAATGTTTAATGTGACAAAACAGAAATTAATGACATCTCTAACTGGAACTCTGGATATCATTTATGTTAGATTTCATCTAATCATATATTGACATTTTGGTACTATCTTTGCTGTTAGAATGACACACACTCTTCATCAACTCCATTTTAGAATAACAAAGGAACAGAATAAAAACAATAATATAGCGTCACAAGCTCCCAGATCAATACCAAAACAGGCTTGATTACTCCAGATATATGAAGGGGATAGAGTAATCACATACATGTACACTTAAAATTCTAACTTGGAGTAATTTGACAGAATTGAAAATGGGAAAGTGTGTAAAGTAGTAATAACTGGCATCAAATCCCTAACCATAAACAAACTCATACTACTGCAAGTATCACTTTCATTGATAAATCAATATCTTTCATTGGCTACTGCTATCCTAACCTGGTTCTGGTTTCTGTGGTACCATACCAGCCCTCTTGCCTCCTCCCATCACCATCGGTGGTGCACCGCTCCCACTACCGGTGACCTGTGTGCTGAAGGCACTACTGGTGAGGGTGCTCACGCCTGGACCTGGGGTTTGCTGTATGATCGTGAAGGGTTTGGAGCTCTTGTGCTTGGAGCCCTTACGATGGTGCTTGGATACGGGTGGGTAGGGTGTGACCACACCTGTCAACTGATCTGGTATCAACAAATTAATATATTACATGTATATTAAACTCAGATAAAAACTATTACATCTGCATTACAATACACTACAGCAATAATAATAAGATTAAACAACTCCAGAGTAAACTTCAGTGACATATACTTCATGATGAAGTATATCACATTTATAAACTCAGATAAAAATGATTACATCCACATTACTTTACAATACAGCAGTCATAATAAGATTAAAACACTCTAAAAGTAAACTTCAGTGACATTTACTTCATGATGAAGTATATCACATTAATAAACTTCAGTGACAATAAACTCTGGCAAATTGTTAGTGACAGCCCAAACCAAAAATCTTTCTTAATTGCATATACATTGTATTTTTTTTTGGTGTGATTTAGTATCACGGCATAAAATTTAAATCCACAACAGTTTCAAAAATACATTTTTGGTTTTACAGTCCTCTGCATATAACTCTTTCCACGCTTTGGTTGGCAATAAGTACAAACACAGGACTGCCATCATCAACTTTTGTCACACACTGTGTGCATGTATCATATAAAGTTGAAATATAACAAGTCCATGGTTTTCATCCATAGTGAATAGAACGTTAACCGATTTAACGTGCTTATCATCTCAAGTCTTTTACCAACCTTCATAGCTCATCTGAAAAGGCGGATGACCTTCTGACATGGTTGCCATGGTGACCTTAGTGGATGCAGGCAGGCCCTGAGAGCGGGATGGGACCTCTGAAGGTGGGCTCTGGTCAGCATTAGCACTGGACATTATTATTACCTGCTGTAGGTTTAAGGCAAAAATTAGAATGAAAAATTGCATTCCTCAAATGTTCAGTCAATAAAGTGTCTGCATGTTGAATCAAGGAAAGTGGATTTAAAGTCAGTCATTGCATGTTATTGTTTAATGGATGCAGGCTGGGTTACAGTAGACAACACTCAGTCCCACAGATAGGATGTCATATGGAGGTCCCTTGGGTAGGAGCTACAGCAAATACCCAATGAGAAACGGCTGCACTTTTCGTGAAAGAGTAAATGAGGGAAAGCCCAGTATCATGACTATCAGTTATATACTGGAAGAGTGTAGTGCTTTTCCAATATTTAATCCTGATATTTTATAATGATTCTGCACTTACACTGCATTCTACACTCCATTGGGGAGCATCCCAAAATGTCACAATTTTCCAGACAGATACATCCTAATCCAGCAGCAATGGCTTCCGCATTGTATCATGACTATTTGCATCCTATCGGATGGCCATTCAAAAATTGCATTGAGAACACCGCTTCCTTCTAAGAGAAAGACAAAAACCCACCTTCTGGGCAGCTTGGCTGGTAGTAGGGGTGGTACCACTTCCCACTTTTGTGAAGGTGATCTTCATGGTAGAGGGCGCCGTACTGCTGCCGCTCGTCGACCTGCCCTTTGACCTACCCTCCGACGACGATGAGCTCTGAGAGGAGAGCTTGCCTGAGGTCAGGCACTGAGAAACGAGGCTGGGCTACTGGTGAAGGAACAGGCTGAGGAGGATGATAGGTGGCGCTGCTTGGCTTGCTCGTCCAGCTGCTGCAGATCAAGTGAAGCTGGTGGAGAAATAAGGAATCACACAACTTGAACGATAGTACTACAATAATTGATATGATAGGCACTTAAATGGACGTTAAAAGTCGGTCCCCAGACGTAAATAATCATATCTGATTGATACATCATGATAAATCAATTCTCGCTACCCTAAATAGGTACGAAAATCTCGAAATTCGCGAGACGAGGTAATTTTCACTCTCTCGGGTCGTCACTACAACTTCCGGTATAGAGTACCATCCCGCTGGCGCTAGCGCCTGTGTTCGCTGTGCAGAGTTTTCACGCACGCTAAAATCGATGCCAATCAGTGTAATTTGTACAGATTATAATATATGCATTAAATTTAGTTTGTTTTTATTCAATTTGAATATACAATAAAAAGCAAAAATAGTTTACAGGAAAGATTTTATTTTTATTCATGTTTTTTTTCTGTTAATCTAAAAGTAAAAAAAAAACAATTGTCTTAAAATTGTGCATGTAGCGACCAGCGTCACAATCACGAGCAGACGATACAGTAAACAGTGTAGAGACAACACTCAGTTCATGTATTTCTCGTCGACCACAAAATGGATAAAAAAAACAGTTTCGGAACTTAAAAAAATCTTAACGGACAGAGGAATACCATGCAATGGAAAGCTTCGGGCAGAATTAGTGACTTTAGCACAAAAGGCCGTTAAACTCTACCGTGAAAGAGAGGGTTGTGATCACGAACTGGGAAATTTCACCCAAGTCACGGCCTTCATCCACCCCCATTTTTCAGGGTTCTTACGCTTGGAATCATGAGCCCAGCACTGTGCAGCCTCACAAAAGAAAACCATCGTCACTGATGTCAAAAGACGCAAAAAACAACGAATGAAATGTTCAAATAAACGTTGAAATATTTGCGAAAAAAAACAAGACCGAGCAGACGACATATTCGGTGCATACACGTTATGTGGCGACGGCGTTTTACGTTTGCGCTATCGCGCCTAGTAATATAGCGCCTGCACAGGAAGCTGTAATGTCGAAAAGCTATCCCATAATGCAATGCGCATTTTCAGGATTTTCCCCGGATCTCGGCAGAATCGCTATTTGGGGTAGCGAGAATTACACAAACACATACAATACCCCAAATCTTTCTAAGCATAAATGCTGCATAATCAAAAAGAGTTTTCGAACCTTTTCTGTGCCTTAGACAGCAAGTTTGGCAACAGAATTTCAGTTTTGGATGTGTTGGAACTCAGAATGGCCAATACTCTTCCTAAAATAGAAAAGGTAATTTCACCATGAAGTTTATTTCACGTAAAAGATTTTGTTATGCCTAATCTAACAAAGAAACACAGCATCTTCAGTTATTAAAGATCTAGCGCTTGAAAGTCCACTTATAGTAATTGTCCAAAAATCCTGGTGGCTCAGAAAGGTTTGAGCTATCCTTCAGAAGACATTGTGACAAATATCTGTTAAAATAAATCCTTAACCCAAACATTGTATTTGACACGAACAGTCATTGCTGTTGAGACTTACATTTTGGCAAGATGGTCCCAGGGGGAAGCACGATATAGTTACTCTCACCGGAGCCGTCTGATGATGTTCTGGACTCGTCTCCTGGTTAATGAGAGAAGAAGAAATGAGTAAGGGTACAGGTAAAAGTGATTTGGTCTAGTGGATTCATATGTAAGTACCTGCAATGTATATCATAAGATACAGGGTTCAAATCCCAGTCACATCACTTGCGTTCTGTGGCCAGATTACAGTCTACATTGGTCACATTTGACACAGGTACCATAAGGAAGAAATTCATTAAATGCCCAAAAGCCTTATCAGGGCACCAAGGCTACATCTGGGTAGTAACTTCTAAGGTATGTTGGAAGTATATTGTGACATAATATCATAATGGAATATTATTGTTAAAGCATGAGAATGGTAGCTCAATTATCATGAAGATGCTGAACAAAGATAAAAATCCACTACATTCATTGTATCCTTTACTATCTCAAAATTTTCCAATGGCAGTCACATCGTCTGAGAATATCTTTGTTTTTTTTGTTTGTTTGTTTATTTTATTTATTCACCATGTAAAATAGTTTTTTACAGATAATAAAATTCAGTGGGTTACATTGAGATATAATACATAGTAGGAACAGTACATAAACAAAAAATGTTTGAAGCGCAACGTCCCTAAGATAACATAGTTGATAATTATTAGGTATAGATAGAACATGGCTTAAAATAAGACATTCTGTCGTTACAAACATTTTATAAAGATTGTAAACTTAATCTTCTATAAAAATTTGTTGGGGTGAAATATAATTTCTTATATATTTTCACTGGACATTGTTTCTATCTTTTTTTATAAAGTGAAACTACAACTTTTTGACATGACCAAAACCAGAATTTCCTTCATCTCCTTGCATATGACTTTAGTCTAATTTATTATATTTATGGTTTATATAATCCTTGTATACCTCAGACCATGTCTTCAATATTAAAAAAAAGATTGTGCAACACATCTTCCATCAACAATTGATCCCGGTCGATTTCCTGCACTTAAAAAATTCCTAACTTCAATCCTGGACTAAACAATACAACCAACCATAACCCTTCACCTAGACATAATTAAAAACATTTTTTGACAAAAGCCTGGAGCAAATGTTGCTCTAGCACCTATTGGGTTGCCAAAGAAAGAAATTACCATCTTTTCTGGCTGTTTCCTCTGGATCGGGGAGTGTTGCATTGTGGGCATGTGCCATATTAGCCATTTGATTGGCTGTCATTGTGTAAGCCGTCTGAGGGATGAATCTTGGCATCAGAGGAACAAGTCTCCTGCCCTCTACCGACCACTCCAAGGAGTTGTTCTCTCCTCCAACCCTGTATTTTTGAGAATGAGAGAGAGAGAGAGAGAGAGAGAGAGAGGGAGAGAGAAGAGAGAGAGAGAGAGACAGAGAATGAGAGACAGAGAATGAGAGAGACAGAGACAGAGACAGAGAATGAGAGAGACAGAGAGACAGACAGAGACAGGGAGACAGAGACAGAGAGAGAAAGACAGAGACAGAGAGAGAGAGGCAAGGCTTTTATGTTTATAAGTTGAAGAATTCCTAAAAGTTTATTTGAATGAAATTTCATCTCTTCTCATTATGCAGACTCACTAACTAAATTAAATGCTACAGCAGAGGATCATTTAGACCTTTTAATAGTCCATGTGCAAAAGTACATGTTTGAAGGAGTTCTTCAGTATTCACTATAATTATAAGGACATCCACCTATTATAACAACTGACTTGTCAATCAGCTCCCTCAGAGGATATATCCAATAAACAAGCACTTGGTACAAAATTCATTGAAAGTCAAAAAGTGTGATGAACAATCCTAGCACAACAATTAATTCGCTCATTACCTCTCAGCTATTGTGGTTAGTTTCTCATCGTTCACAGCCCTCCGAACTTCAGCTTTGTGTCTCTCAGTTGATATACTACAGGGAAAAGATAGGATTAAAACAGAAAATTAGTCGTCATATGGCTGTAAGAATGTAAGCTCACTGCTTGTGCCAGATTTACCATTTGTTTCTCAGAAAACAATACAATAGGATAAACAAAATGTTCTCCTCTTTTTATAGCTTGCAGCAGTTATGAATTATCAGTATCTTGATAAACTCTGTTCAAAAATATCAACCAAACAGATTTTCTATTGTACACAAAGCATGCAAATGATTAAACTTGTTTAATTTTCTAACTTTCATACTCATTCATGTTTATGCACAGATCAGATCACTAACACCTTAGACAAGCTACTCAAGTCATTTTCTGATAAACTAGGTATAACCAGAATTTTGATCGGCTCTCTGGGAATAAGATTGAAAATTTCATTATGATTTTTTTTTTAAAATAAATTTTTCTTCTAAATTTTGACCGATACCTCCAAATAGGCTGCTTTGAGACTAGCAATATATGCTTTACAAAACTAGAGTTTGATGAAATGTTTAAAGGTTACTCTCACCTCAGGGTCGAAGCAACACTTCTCAGCAGACTTTTCTTTTCTGGGGTGAGATCTCCCTGGGCTCTGAAGGCACTTATGACCGATGAGTAGGCCTCTAGTTCAAGCCTCCGCAATACACTCCAACACTCCTTCTCCTCCATGTCAAGAAGTCTGGGCCACATGATTCTGATGGTGTGGTGGTATAGAGATTCCTTTGCCAAGAAAGCTCTAAAGATATCACATGCTGCAATCTGTATGGAGAGGACAAAGAACAATGTCAAGAACAGAAGTGAAAACAATGATAAATGTCATAAAAAATAGACTTCAAAATTTAAGATAACACCTCAAGAAAAAATTTGTACTAAAAAGCATTGTTGGCAGCATTGTGTGTAAATTCTACAATCAAAGAAAAGAAAAAAATAATCTCATGATTGGTAATCATGGTAATGTGTAGAACTAAAATTTCTGTCTCTTTCGTTCGTTAGCCTCTGATTTGGGTAGGTTTGGCTCGAACCCTACACAAATCAGAGGCTAACGGACGAAAGAGACAGAAATTTTCGGTCTAGGTAATGTGATGCTGCCTATCTATTGGACACGATCTCAATAGACTAGTATCATGTTGATCAAGTATCATGTTGATCAAGTGGCATTTCGGAGTCATTCCTTTTTGGGAGGTATCATATGAGTAAGTTTGAAACTCAAACCAAAATTTAGCGAAACTCCCTGCCCTGCGTGCGGGAATGGGTAATTTAATTATGAACGGATGGAAGGCATTTCTATGATCTGATGATATAATGATGATTTTACTTTTTAGTTTAATTTAGTTTAAGTTAAGTTTTGTTCACTCATACAGCATGCAGTATAATACTTCTGGGGGCCCTTTCTCGAAACCAACTCCATGACAGTCATATCTTTGTCGGCGACCTACAGAGATGTCATGAAGTGGATAAACCGTTTCACAAAGCCATGACAGACATGATATCGATAAATCGCGATACTAGCAGCTCAAGAACATTGTCTTTGTCACGATCCATTTGATTTATCAAGAATAATCCAAAACAACTTTTGGGGCTAAAATTGTTCAAAAAGAAATATATACATATAAATTATCCTAAAATAAATAATAAATAGTATCTTTATCAAATGTAAATCATCAAACGATTTGCATATTTCTGTAAAGATTCTTAAATTGAAGAGAACGAGTGTTTTTTTATTTACAGTCAAATCAAAAGTTAGTTGAAGGATACCGTAATGTGATAGTTTATCAATACATACTTTTTTGTTTATTGTGACGAGGAATTTTAGGGAAAATACCTTTTCTCAGCCAGTTTTTATTCTAGAGTCTCATCAATACTCGTTATATAATTGATTTGATATTGAAAATATAATTTGGAAGAAGTAATTACTAGATCTAAGTTAGAGAGGAAATAATAATAATGCACATAGATCTAGGCCCCAAAGGTACGACGGTATCCTAAGGAAAGACTATGACTCGACTATGGAAAACGGTGTGTAACATTCTTATCTCTCTTATTTATATGTTAGACTAGAAGTTTAATAATTTGTAATTTAATGTTTATATTCAGCTTTTTAAAGTTTCTGTATAATTTGTATAATCACTTTTTTACATTTGCATTTCGCATCCCAGAGAATTACGTACCGAAGTCGTCTAACTTAGACTTTAGATCTATATTTTTCTCGAAATGATAGTGAAACTAATCGTACATTTCGCGGCCCATCATAGCAACAAACTGACTTGTGATGGCGCTTTACAGCAATTAAAAAAAGATGATGGGTTCGGAGCAGTGACAACTCGCTTGTCGTGGAAGTTGTCGCTCATCTTGGCAAAGCCAAAGACGGCTTTGACCTTTGTGAAACACTTAGCTGACAAGTTGCGTGACAGTGGCGAGATGTCGTTGATCTTGTAGTTATGACGGTTTCGAGAAACAGCCCCCAGGTGAAGAAATAGATGTTAAGACTCCCTCTATTAATTCTCAAACTTCAATTAAAAGACAAAGACCAAATAGGTCTAGTCTAGGTCTACTATGGTCTAAAACAAAATTTTAAAAACTTTTTAAAAAAGATCAATGAAATATTTTTTTTACGGGTTTCAAATTAACGATTTTAATTTAGTCTACTTTAGGTCTAGATCCAGATATATTAGCCTTACAACCTGCCCATACACACAACATCTAGGGTCTATATAGTTTTCAGCAACAACTGAATTTATACTCACAAGATCGGTTCCGTATTTTTTTTGTGTTCCACAAGATAGCGGTATAGCTCTCCAAACCAAGCTGCTAACTCACATATTTATGTACAGATGGGGATCTATGGAAAAGCCGCGCTCCTTGTAATTGAAACTAGCGATCAATCAGGGTCTCAATAAGGGGAAGCAAGCAACCAATAAGAGGAGCTATAGTGTCTCCAAAACAACTGATCGAAAAGGAAAACGAAATTTTGCACATCTTGGTTGACGGTAAATTTTAATGTTTTTAAAGCTATCGTATGAAATTGCAACTAGGTAATATGCTACATAATTTCAAAGCTCAAAGACGGCTCTTTGCTCACATAATATTATATTGGACATCGGTATATGGGAGCGATAATCCAAAAACATTACACTAGGAAATGGACAAAATTCGTTTTCAAGTCCAAAGATATTTTGACTAAATACTAATTACCAATATGACTTAACTCTCATAGAATGGCGATGAGAAGGAAAACAAAAGAAGGGGAAAAAAAGGGGGAAAAAGGGGGAAAAGAGAGAGAGAGAGAAGGAAAAGAAGGGAAAGAGGAGAGAGGGAAAGAAAGAAGAGGAAGAAGAAAAGAAAAGGGGGAAGAAGGAGATCGGGGGGATGGGGCCTCGTCTCCTAGGCTGTTGCCCCCCCCCCCCCCCAATAAAAAAAATAAGAGAGAAGGAAGGAAATGGTAAGAAAAATGGAAAAAAGGAGATAAAGCGAAGAAAATTGGGGAAGAAGAAAAGAAAAGAATTCTTTTAAGAAGGGGGTATTAGAGTTGCAATTTTCCCGCCAACAAGTTGTGGATCGAGGTGGGGGTGGGGCAAAAGGCCCTTGCCTCCCCGGCCCGCCCCCGCTAAAAGGGGAAGGAAGGAAGGAAAAGGAAAAAAGGAAAAGGAAAAAAGGAATCTAAAAGGGACCGAAAAAGAGGAAGAGATAAAAAAAAAAAAAGGGTGCAAAGAAGGGGAAATAGATCATTTGCGGCTATAATCCCGCCAACAACGTGTGTAAAAGGGTGGGGGCCGAAAGGGCCTTGCCCCCCCCCCCCAGCAAACCTCAAAGAGAGAGAAGGAAGGGAAGGGAAAGGTAAAGAGGAGAGAAAGGGCAAGAAAAAAGAGAAAGCAGAAAGGTAGGGGTGATTTTCCGCCAACAAAGTGTAGATCGGGGGAGGGGGGGGGGGGGGGGGGGGGGCTCGGGGGAAATACAATTTAGTCGTGGTTTATTTCTAATTCCATAACGGTTGTTTACACATAATGCTGAAATGACATAATTTTCCGAGATTTTTTCTCATTGTTTAGTATATTATCCTTTTTTATGCGTTTGTTGTAAAATTACAAATTCCTAAATTTACAGCCAGGTAAGAAATATACCTCTTGAGATGCCTACATGTCAGGGCCCGTGGAACGGCGGGGATCGGGAGCTTCCACCTCCCCCCCCCCCCCCCCCCGAATTAAAAAACAAAACAAAACAAATATTAAAGAGAAATAGAAAGAAAGAGAGCAAGAAAGAAAGAATAGTTAACTGCCAGTGTCACCTGACCGTAATTAAACGCCTAAAACCCCTGAGCTTACAGGGGCTCTACCCCCGGGACCCAACTAAGGGCCCTAAGGCGGGCACCTTGATACTCATCTGACCATAATTTAGTGCCTAAAACCCTTGAGCTACTGGGGGCTCCGCCCGCTGGACCTCACGCCAATCAGTGTCCTGCCAGTGTCACAAAATAAGGTATACAAATATGTTCATCTGACCGTAATCAAATGCCAGGCGCGTAGCCAGGGGGCGGTGGGGGCGGCCCACCTACAAAAAAAAGCCGGCCAAAAAAAGAGAGGATAAAAAGGAAGAAGACGTAGGAAGAAAAAGGAGCAGACAAAAAACATTTTTGAAATTCAGACAAGGATTCGAAAACGGTACAACGATCGTCTTCTTTCTCTAATAATTTAATGAAATGACAAAGCCTTCGCGCAGGAGGGGGGGGGGAGACTGAACTGAGACAAGGATTAAGAGACGGGAACGTTACAGCGAATCGTCTTCTTTCTTAATTAATTTTAATGAAACGTCAAAGCTTTCGCGCTTTGCGCGGGAGGGGGGAACTGAATTGAGACAAGAGTTAAGAATCGAGAATGGTAATACGAATCGTCTTCTTTCTCTAATAACTTAATGAAACGTATATATAGCTTCCGCGCTTAGCGCGGGAGGGGGGGGGGGGTAAACTAAATTCAAACGAGGATTATTTTCAAGAACGGTACAACGAATCGTCTTGTTTCTCTAATAATTAAATGAAATGTCAAAGCTTCCGCCCTTCGCGCAGGAGGTGGGGGAATTGAATTTAGACAAGGATTAAGAGTCGTGAACGGTATACGAATCGTCTTTTTCTCTAATGATTTAATTAAACGTAAAAGCTTCCACGCTTCGCGCGCGCGGAGGGGGGGGGGGGGGAACTGAATTCAGACGAGGATTAAGAGTCGAGAACGGTACAACGAATCGTTTCCTTCTCTAATGATTTTAATGAAACGTAAAAGCTTGCGCGTTTCGCGCGGGAGGGGGAAAACCGAATTTAGACAAGGATTAAAAGTCGAGAACGGTACAACGAATCGTCTTCTTTCTCTAATAATTAAATGAAACGTCAAAGTTTGCGCGTTTCGCGCGGGAGGGGGAAACTGACAAATAACTTAGTTCCTGGCCTCATGTTTATAGGGTTGAATAATATTTGTAGACATTGGGACATTGGCATTAATATTTTGTCGGTAATTGGTGGTACGGTGATCAGTGGCCTCCACACCCCCCCCCCCTCACTGAAAAAGGTGTAGCGACGCCCCTGATAACAACACAGTTTATACACTCGAGATAAGTTTTACTGCTTAAGTACCAGACCATCGTCTTTGCGCATCAGTGTGCAGCAACGAAATATTATACAACGTCTTGCGACGTGACAGATCACTTTTCTCTAACTTCTAACCAATCAGAAGGCCTCGTTATTTTCCAGGAAGTGACGATGAACATTAATGCGCCAACTGTGGTTCTCAAATTGCAAAAGATCCCTACTCTTGAAGGGCCGGGGTAGGAGAAAGCAATTTTCCATCGTTTTACTCCAGGAAGTGCCTGAAAATGCAACCCGGGAGAGGGGGCTACTTACATAGGACATACGGGGATGTGCCGCTCTTCACCAAAAAAAAATCCCTAAACATAAGTCCCACTTTTATCAAAAATGTAATTAAGAATGGGTCAGTTTTTTTTCAAAATTTCAAAAAAATTCGGGTGGTCTTCCAAGCAAACACCCTCAAAACACCCGAAAATCCCTTAAACACCCGAAAAATTTGAAAAATGGGTCTTCTTTTCGAGGGGTTTCGAGGCTTGAGCGGCACTCCCGGTAAGAAATTTCTGGATCCGCCCCTGAAGCCAACTGCCCAACTTTGAACTCGAAAACAGGAGTCTGGAAAAACAGACCCCCCCCCTCAAAAAACAACAACAAACAAACAAACGAACAAACAAATCAAAACAAAACAACAACACAAAAATCAGTAAAAGTGAGCCATGAGATCAAGAGTTCGAAAAGATGACCATGAAAGAAGGCCGTGGCGCAGATAATAGGGACCACTACGGTACCGTACCCTGCCCAGTTATCGCCCCCCTGTTACCAGTGGCTTATTAGACACAACGGCCGTCTTCCATCGCCCGAGTTTCTACGGTGCGCAATGAAGGCGTGCGACTAACTTGCCTATAGCAGCATACACGTTGTAAGGAACATGTGCACGAAATATGGTACACTGTCGATCGCCCATTTAACGGAGATACGCGAATGACGTCACTGTGCAGCAGTCAGCTATGCGCTTATTTAGGTGTGAATCAACCTTTTTAAAAAACATCAAGTTCCTATTCAAAACGATCAGAAAAAAAATATGGTGGAAATTTTACTTTTGTTTAAAGAGATATGGAAGTTTAAATTCCTGATGTTTTACCTGAGCAAATTTCTTGCGAAAATTATTATTTATAAAAAAGTTATCGAGGCTTGAACTCGGCCATGTCGCCCTGTGATGCCCCTGCCCTATTTCCGCCCACTCAAACACACGCGCTAGTTCAGTGTATGTACCGTGCGTTGTTTATGCTCTAACAGAGAAAAGGTTATCTGCCCGTGGTTTTTTAGTCTATTTGTGTGTTTTTAGGTCTGCGGTTGGTTTTTTGAAAGTGCACACTTCATTGTCTTTTTTCCATGATAAAACACTCGGTTTACTCCATAAAATCGCAACTCGAGAGTATGAAGAAGGTGAAGAATACACAAATACTATAAAACTACATTCGACCTATAAACAGTTTGTAAATTGGGAATTCACCCCCCCCCCCCGTATATGTTGACCTACATTTTGCAAATAAAAGAAAGATCATAAATGAGATAACATGGTCACCAGGCATAAAACTCTTTACTGGTATTACAGCCATGCAGTTGTCAAAATCTGCCAGACGGAATGTTGTTTCACTTTTTGATGAGCAATCATAACCGTGCTACTAAACTTAACATTTTGCAGGCTCACTTGCATGGTCTACAAAATAATCATTTAGAGGTGGCCATTCATTTTTCGTTGAGTTTACAACCAGAAAATAAGATTCAGTGTAAATTGAGTAGCTGTTTATTTATTGCCCTTTGAAGGTTCTAGGTCAATTACCCCTTGGGCATGTCACCCCCGGCCAATTAGCGGTACAATAATTACCCCAAGGACGATTACCCCCCCCCCCCCCGAGGACAACCACCCCGAGGAAGTTACTCCCCCCCGAAAAATTACCCTCTAGGACAATTATTACCCCCCCCCCCCCCCCCGTGGACAATTAAACCCCCAGAGGACAATTACCACCCCTGAAATTAATGATCTCCCCCTAAAAATTACCCAACTAATTATCGAGGTTGACTTCCCCCTGTTCATACTGAACAGGGGGTAGTCCTCGGGGCGGTTGTCCTTGGTTGTCCCAGGGGGGCATTGTCCTATATAGGGGTTAAGTTTCAGGGGGTGGGGGGGGGGGGGGGACTCTTTTCCGGGGGTAGCTCGTCGAGGCACGGTAATTGTCCTTAGGGGT